GCCTGGCTATTTTTTGGTTGCAGCCGTCATTGTTGTTTGGCGGGCCTGTGCTGGATTCGAACTCGCCACAATAGGTGTATGTGGCTGGCGCCTTAGCCACTTGAGCCACAGGCGCCTAGCCGTAAAAATGCAACTATCATCTTGCAGTCTTATTTCTGTCTGAAGAAGTCCATAGTTTTTTGTCCATGTAGGACCATTGCTAAGTCTTCCCCTACAACCTAGCTATATTACAATCACAATAAATGCAGTAACTTCTTATCAGGAAAACAACTGTTCTTCACTGTTTATTACTCTAAAAAACAAATGAAGCCTGTCACTGGAGCTAATACTGACAATGTGCCTAATAGAACACAGGCCTAGGCCATCACCAGTATCCATCGCCCTTCTCATACACTCAGCCTCCACAGGATAACCTTTTTCATACACTCAGCCTCCACAGGATCTTTTTTCTCCCCACCCCTACTGATTCTCCACTGTAGGGAAGTATATAAGAAGAATCAGCTGGGGTCCTGGTGCTCACTCACCTCTGAAAGAGCTCTTTGCAGCACACATACGTCTCATAGGTTCTATTGCTGAAACTTGTATTTAAGAAGGAGAAACAGTCAGGTTCAACTCCCCTGGGGACATAGAGGATTCCTGGATAAAGGAAACAGATACTAGGCGGGGAGAATTTACACACATTCCTCAAGGTACTTTATTCTTTGAGTGTGAAGAGAATGAGGTAAATAGATGCCTTTTCTGTGCATTTGTGGGATGAATGGTTAAATCAATATTCTGAGAGAGATCCTGTCATGGTCTAAGTAAGTTATTTCTGCCAAGAGACCAAACTGAGGCACCTACCTGCCACACAGGCACTGATAAGGGATACACAGGCCCCTGTTAAGAGAGCACTGACCACAACCTTGGAAAAGTCACTTTTCCGGTGAGGTACCATTGATGCTGCAGATAATAAAACAAAATAAATTGAAATTTGTTCCAGTAACCTCACCCACGAGTCCCCATTTAGAAGAATGCAGAGGAACAAAAGACAGATGAATAGCTCCCCTACTACCAACCACCTGAGGCTCACTGACTCAGGCTTTCCTTGGGCCAAGGATTGTGTCTGACCCTAATGTTAATGGTTCTATGAACATACCCAAGATGTATCTGGATCAAGCAAGGCTCTGGGTTGCTCCAAACCGGTGCAGACACCTTGTGTTCACCACTTGAAATCTGTACTCTTAAGCCTAAACCAGAATTAGATGGACTACTTTGAGCCAGAGGGCTAAGCAAAGCAACTTTCACCTAAGCCTTAGCCACACAATGCTTGTCTTAGAATCAGTTGTTTAACATAAAGGAAAAAGATAGAATGAAATTATTTCATCTTTAAATCAGCTACCAAATACATAAATTTAATGACTCTACCCCAGAATATAATTGCCTAAAAAAAGGACACACTGAGCTATATTTCTTCCTACATTTCATTTTTTTCTAAGATCCATTTCTTTTTTTTTTTTCCTTTCTTTTTGTTTTTTTTTTTAAGAGACAAAGTCTCACTTTGTCGCCCTTGGTAAAGTGCTGTGGCATCACAGCTCACAGCAACCTCCATCCAGCTCTTGGGCTTAGGCAATTCTCTTGCCTCAGCCTCCCCAGCAGCTGGTACTACAGGCTCCTGCCACAATGCCTGGCTATTTTTTGTTGCAGTTTGGCTGGGGACGGGTTGGAACTGTGGGGCCAACGCCCTACTCACTGAGCCATAGAGATCCATTTCTAACTTAGATTTTCCAAACTCTACTGTACTCAAGGAAAATTCCACCTTTCTCATATTCCTCCAACCATCATCCACATTGAGCCATGTGTCCAGAAGTCTAAATATATCAGCGTCTGCTTCAAAGACTCATTTCTCCTACACCTGATGCTTGCAACTCTCAGTCCAACAGTTTACACCACTAACTCTTACTATCTATCTGCCTGTGTCTGCTGCTTTGATTTATCTTTTGATTCCTTGTGCAAATCTTGCTTCTTTGAAGACAACCAGTGAGCAGCCTGATTTCAGAAAGTGCCTTCATTACTAAAAAACAAAATATCTTTACATATATATGCACTATGCCCATTTAATGGCAAAATAAAAATATCATAGTATTTTCTCCCTTATAGGGAAAACTAAAATAAAATTGGTCTTTGGAGTCTCTAATTCAAAGGGAAAAAGTAACTGAAGTTGAGATTGTAAAGGGCTCTATGCATAGCCAAGTAGAATGATTGCTTAGCTCCAAGTTAACAGCCTAACCGGGCCCATTTCATATCAGCTTCTCTATCTGGTCCAAACTTACATTGAAGCACCAAAATGCCCACTACAGAAGGTGGGATCTGGCTGGCTTATTGGAGAGCTGGAAAAATGGATGTACTTACTCATGCCTCCTAGTGTGATTCCTATGGAACTGAGATTGGCAAATCCACACAGGGAAAATGTTGTAATGATTTCAGCTCTTATCTAGGGAAAACAAAAACAAATCAGCAAATTTAGTCCCATGTACACAGTCTGATAATCATGATAGAAGTTCCAGAGTACTTAGAGCCCTCAATCTTTTCCACATTATCCTAAGGAATGTGAAAAAGATGCTGAGAATATAACTGCTCCCTGAGTTATTAGAGGGATAATGATACAGAAACCACCATGGGCCTCATTGCCTAACACTGTTCTTGTTGAAATCTATAAATAAGGAGAAGGCACACAAATGAAGATGTTTGAGGGGGGAGAAATAGAGAGGCAGGAGAGAGAAAAAGGATATCAATTTAGAGCAATTTTAAACTCATAAAAAAAGAAAGACCTAGTGATCACATTATAGAGAGACATTGAGTCTGAGTGTGGGGCAGAAGCAGCACACAGACTTCAGAATCATTCAGGCATTGCTGATGAGGCTGCTAAGCATACTGTTCTGCTTGCTTTGTGGCTAGGCTGGTGACACCAGAAAGGCACCTATGGGTCTATAATGAACCCATGCATAGTACTTTCTGTCTACCCCCAGGTAAACATGGCTGAGACCTAACATTGTTTATGATTTTCCAGATTGTCACTTACAGAAATCCACTGTTTCTTGCCCTCAATCCACTCTTCCACTCCAGAAAGGCGTTTGTTCTTGTATTGAGACAGTTGCTGATAGGCCACAAACTCGTTTGTGAAGAACTTGATTCCCACCATCTCAGCCACCATTGGACAGTCTGCCCACTCTACTCCCATCATGAAAACCAAGGGCCTTAGAACATAGGAGCAGATGACCTGAGTGAAAGAGAGGTATCCCAGGAAAGGAAGAACTAATAACAAAGATCAGGTGCTGAGGACCTTCTCAGGATCCTTGGCCCAATCCCCTCCATCCTTCTCCTCTTCATGCTCTCCCTTAGTTTACTACAAGTCAGGAAGACATACACAGTTCAAGGACTACTTAGCCACATCCCAGAGACAACCCAACAAATGTAATCCTTTACCTGGAAAGTGAGTCCCTGTATGTCCACCAATTCCCCCAGCCAGGAGAGGGCAGCATTGATGAAGGCCAGTACTGCCAAAAAGGCGATCAGATTGGCTGCCACATTAGCCGCCAGGCCTATGGCATCTGTAGCTCCATTGCTGGCAGCTTCCAGGACATTCTTCTCTTTCCTGTGGTTATTGGAAAAGGGAAAGAGTAGAGTGTCTGGAGTAGACTCAGCCTCTCAGAGAACAGAAATTCCACTGTCTTTATAGTGCACAAAGAGATGCAAGGCCAGTATGAGATATGAGTATGAGATGGGGGTTTCTTAATGATCCTGTTAGTGGGAAATTACTCTGAAGTCATATATATAATTGGCATGAAATTGCACCTACAACAAGGACAGAGGGTATGCAGAAGATAGCAGATGGTGGCAGAGTTAAAAAAAGGAAATCAACATGACTAGCTGGAGGCAAAAGGCAGTGTTTCACAACCTGTGGGTTGTGACCCCTTTTTAACAATGAAAATAGATTGCGACATTAGGAAGGTTGAGAATCAGTGGTATGGGATCACATTGTTCCTTCTGAGGGAGCCTAGAAGTTTCTGCCACCACAGTGCTGCTCTTGATTCTGCACCTACCTCACCACCTCCCAAATTATATGCCTCCTTAGACTCACCCAGGAGGCAGTTCTACCCCCTCCTCACTCTTGAACTTGGATTCTTCCACTTCTGGATACACAAGCTTTGATAAGGCAAGAGCACAAGGGGCAGCCATCACAGAGGCAGAAATCAAGGATGAGGCATCAATCTGTAAGGCCAGATTCAAGGATCAGTGTCTCTACAGAACCAAATTCAGGCTTGCCCAGGAGTGACCAACCAAGCAGATGCCTACCCCAAACGATATGAAGGCTCCTAACACAGTGCCTGAAATGGTGGCAAACCCTCCAGTCATCACTGCATGGATTTCAGAGTAGGTCATGTCTGCAAGGTAGGGACGGATGAGCAGAGGTGCCTCTGTCTATTCACAAGGAGAAAACAGTCAGTTTCCAAGAAGGTGCAACCTCCCATACCAGAGTACCCACACCAGGGGCAGGACAGTCTAAACACACACCCCTCCAAGGCAAGTACTGTTTGGTGAGGTGCAGAACCACTGAGTGAGCACTGAGCTTTGCCCTCAGGCCTCCTAGTATCTGCCTCACTTCCACTGGCATCTCATCATGTCCTGGCTGGCATAGCTCTCACCTGTTTCTATACATATTTGTTTCATCTATTGACATTTTAAAATGTTATAGAAGAGAAATGGTATATTTCCTTCATATGTTCTCACTGTCTAAAACCATGCAATTATGGATTTATGGAACATAGTGCACTTATTAAGTAGTATTATTAGATACTTTAAAAGTACTCATTAAATGAAATGCAAATAGATTATCTAAGCCCACTGTTTATGAATCAAAATAAATTTGGTAAAAATGTTATGAAATTATGAAAGCCCAACTATGTAAAGTATACCTAGCATTCACTTAAGATAATGTTATTTATTATTTAATGAGTGCCAACTATGTGCATAACAGTACTAGATAATAGGGACAGGACACTAATATGAATATGGGAAAGTCCATATTTTTAGGAATTTATAGTCTAGCTGAGAAAACTAAGCAGATTATGAATAATTTCAGCAAAATGTGGAGCACTCTGAGAACATTTTAGTCGCAGCCTATAGCTTTAGGAGGGAGAGACCTCAATACTAACTCCTTGTACTTTGACAAGCCCGTATCCCAAACATAGAGCTGAGGCGGCGCCTGTGGCTCAAAGGAGTAGGTGCCGGTCCAATATGATGGAAGTAGCGTGTTCAGACCCAGCCCTGGCCAAAAACTGCCCAAAAAACCCCAACCCAAACTTAGTGTTGATCAGTCAGTAGTGTATACTGAGCAGCTACTCTAAGCAGACTAGTATACCAAGCAAGTATAATGGGAAAGACCCTTGGTGTTAGTCCTAAGCAAGACAAGCTATTGCCTCCTCAGAGACCTTGGAAAACAAGGGCCACAAGGAGTCCCAGAGAGAGAGCAGAAGTAGAATAAATGCCCTTTGTAGCCTCTGAGGAGGGGTAAGTTTTGGATAAGGACACTTCCCTAAATTCCTGTGTGGTTAGAAGAAGTAGCTAAGGATGTCCATCCAGATTGTTATTATTGGTGAGTATTATTAGGCATAAAGGGTGAGAGCAATGAGCTGAATCTTCTTTGAGCTGCTGATTTCTTTAATCAGTGATTGGCTGCCCCTCAGTCTTCATTCCTTTGATTTTTCAAAAGGAAAACATCCTTTTCTGAACCGCTTTTGTGGCAAATTCTCATTTCCCCAGAGAAAAGGCCAGAAGGCCTCAGAATGCTTACCATACCCACAAAGATGTTTCCTGCCACAGCGAGGGTCTCTGTGACAGTAGTGCCCATGGTGATTTGTAAAAACCAGGCAACCTAAAAGGACACATGGACCAAAACCATTAACATTAGCAGGAATCTTGAAGAATGTCCAGCAAAACCCCTCCTGTGCCATCTTACTGATAAGGAAACTGACCAGGACTCATAGCCTTAGGACTAATACTCTCTCTTTTCTTACTGATAAGGCCTTGACCAGGACCTATAACCTCTAAAGAAATATATTAAAACTCAGTATGAAAGAATAGTCCTGGCCAGCCATAGTGGTTCACACCTGTAATCCCAGCAATCTGGTAGGTTGACACAAGTGGATTGCTTGAGCTCAGAAGTTGGAGACCAGCCTGAACAAGAGTGTGACCCTGTCTCTACTAAAAATAAAAAACTAGCCAGGCATTGTGGTGGGTGCCTATAGTCCCAGCTACTTGGGAGACCGAGGCAAGAGGATCACTTGAACACAGGGAGTTTAAGGTTGCTGTGAGCTATGATGCCACAGTACTCTACTCAGGTGACAGAGTGAGACTTTCTCCCTGCTCTGCTCCTTAGCCTACCTAGGGCATGGGATAACCATTTGCTATTAGTAATGTTTGAAAGGGTTTTCCTTTTCACTTTAGATCCTACATATGAGCATTTGTCCAAAGTTAGCATCATCTCATGCCCCTTGACAGATCACAAGATGAAGGTCCATTTCCTGACTGGCATAGGACAAAGACTCACCTTCTGAACTACCCACTGCACAAGACCCAGGTAGTAGAGAATAGACATCACACATCCAAAGAAAAGGATGATTGGCAAGGCCTGGAATGAGAATGATGGCAGCTGGTGAGATGTTACATTGTATAAGCCATGTAGACCATAAATGGATTATGTTTCAGGCCTCTAAATTAATCTCTCAGCATTCTAAGGGCATATCTGATACAGTGTAGATACTCAGTGTTTACACAAACTAGTTTAGGAATAAATTTAAAATGTATTGCAGATTTGTTATAAGTAATAAGCCACAAGGTGTTTTCTGAGCCTTTCTCCATGACCCCTATTTTATCTAATTTTAGGAGGGTAATGATCAAAGGGTGAGAGATTGGTGTTTCCTTTACCAATTGGATTAAACTCTCTTCTTAGGGTCAAACTAGTACACGGGCTGACTGATCTCTTGGACACACATTTTCATCTGCTTGACTCTCCCACCCCTCCACTGATTGTGATTGCTGCCCATAAAACAGATATGACCTGGAAAGCAAAGACATCCTTGGCCAGCATATCCCCAAAGACAAAACTGGAGCCAGCCACAGTGTAGTTTAGGAAAATCTGAAGGGGGAGAGAAAAAATAAGAGTGAAACCCAGAAAGACACAGGGGAAAAAAGATCAATTGCATGTGTGACTAGGACCTACTGCTGCTACTGAGGCTGTCCTCCCTTTGACAGCCTGGAGGTAGGCTGTGTCCCCACAAGTTACTCATTGAATAACAGAGGATTCAGATGTTTAGTTCTCTTTATTCGTATTCTTAGCTATACCTCCAGAATACTCTCTCCTTTCCCAACTGGATCTCCTACCACTATCAAAGACACAGCCTAATCTTTTCATGCTTCCCTCAACTCTCTTTTCTCTAGGTTTTTAAGAGAGCAAAGGGAGAAACCAGAAACAGATCAAATGCCTTTGTAGCCTCTGACAAGTGAAGGGTAAGTTTTGGACCAGGACACTTCCCTAAATTCCTGTATAAGAAGCTGTGGTTAGAAGAAGTGGTTAAGGATGTCCATCCAGATTGTATATTCACATTCAACTTCTCATACCTGGATCTGCTTTCCCAGCCATTGAAATGCATTAAATCCAGGATCAGTTCTGATGACCAAGATCCCAAAAACAAACTGAAGACCCAGGCCCCAAAATACTGTCCTCCAGCACACCTTAGAACAACAAGAAAATTATTCCAATGTGAGTTCTAAACTCTACTTACCCAGCACCCAGACAAAGTTGGAGTTTTAAATATGAGTACACATATTCTGCGTGGAACTAACCTGGGGTGGTAACAGGGGCAAGATGGCATAGGGAACATGAGGAATGGTCCATGAGGAGCATGGGGAGACAGAGGTCCATAATGTCTACATAGTCTTTAAAAATGTGTTTAGAGAGGGCAGCACCTGTGGCTCAGTGAGTAGGGCACCAGCCCCATATACCGAGGGTAGCAGGTTCAAACCCAGCCCCAGCCAAACTGCAACAAAAAAATAGCTGGGCACTGTGGCAGGCACCTGTAGTCCCAGCTACTTGGGAGGCTAGAGCAAGAGAATCGCCTAAGCCCAAGAGCTGGAAGTTGCTGTGAGCTGTGATGCTACAGCACTCTACCAAGAGTGACAAAGTAAAACTCTGTCTCTTAAAAAAAAAAAAAAGTGTTTAGAGGTTAGATAATAGCACTCATACATACATACATATATACATACAAATAAAAGTTTCATAAACGAGTGTTTTAACATTCTGATGTGCATGCAAGCTGATTTTCTACGATTTTTTATTTTCTTTCTTTCCCACCTTATTTTTTCTTTTTGTTCTTTAACAGTGGCCTAGATTCACAAAATTGATATGAAGACTCACTAATGAATCATAATCTAAAGTTTGAAAACAAGTGGTGTAGGGCCTCTGAAAACTTTAAAACTTCTCTTGGAAACAAAATTGTCAAAGAAGCAACTTATGAGGATTGTTAAGAACTTAGTTCTATGCCTTTGTAATTAATATTTGGTCCATGCACTTTGTAATTAGTACGTGGCCCTTGGCTGTGTGTTGCTATGCCCAACCCAAATACCCAAAACTCACTGCACTGTGGTGTTTGGAGCAGGCAAAGAGAATGAGGATGAACATGCAGATTCCTGCAAAGGAGATCAGCTGCTCCGGCCTTTGGGCTGTGTCTAGAGCCAACCACAGTATAAGGCCAACCAAGGAGATTCCTGCAAACACCCTAAAGAAGGAATGCCAAGACCATGTGATTTAGTGAATGAATAACAATATTTACCCAAAAAAAATAGGCATCTACTCCAGAATAAGTAAAACAACTCAATTGTTTGTTGTTAATTGGACATAGTCACATCTTGTTCCCTAGCTTCCACCTCTCTGCTTCCAACTCTATTACTCACAGAATGAAGTTGAAAGAATCAATCTGAGAACACAAATCACATGATTTCCCTTTCATAAAGTTTCCATATCAATAAATGTGATATAAAGACTCATTCTTGAAGATTGTTCCAATAACTAACCAAAATATTAAAATCCAAAGGAGGAAAAGTATGCATATTTGTCCCCTAAAGATCTCCACTTAATTTCTAATCACTCCAAGGACAAGAGTAAAGGCTAAACCACAAATCAACTACTTATGGCCTTATGATCCTCTCATGTGCCAAACACATTTATCAATTCATGGACTAGTTTCCTCATGTCTGAATGTTACTGACCTTCAAGTGCAAGGGAAAAGAATCAGAAGGAAGATCACAGATGAACATAAAACAGAAAGAGCACATTGTCTATTAAGATACCTCAGGAACAAAACAACAAAAGGCACTAGAGGTCAGGTTGAAATTTGAAGCTGTTCTCATGTAAGCCCATTTCACTTGAAGCAGATAAATCTGGCTTCCAGAATGCATCTTGCTAGTGAATAAAGTCCTTGTAGGTCTGTCTCCCCAGTGTCAAATAAATCAGTGATCCAAAATTTAGGTGGTAGTGTAGTGTGGTTTCTCCAAATTATCACTTTGCAAAACATCCTTAAACATTCACTGAAGATTTGGGAGAAAAGAGGAATTTTGTAGAGTCTGAAAGTTATTCTCTCACCCCAGGCCTATGATTAAAGGACAAGTACATTCCAAGGCTAGACAAACTATAACTGCCATAGAATCCAGTTCAGTATATACTAAATAGTAAGTTTGCTCCTTAAACTCTAAGGAATTTTAAAAGGCACCAATGAGTGCAGGAAGTTTGGAGGACTAGTTGGGGGAAAGTATAGGGAATATCAGGGAACTGAGGGAGACACAGATGACTACCAGCAGCTAATACAGCTCTTTGTTCTGACTATTTCATTGAAAAGGAGTATTGCTTCTCATTTTTAACACAGGCCCTGAGGATAAACAGGCTGAATGTATTCTCTGAAACTCTGAACTAAAAACTTCCCTGAACCCCTTATGCCCCTTAGCAATGTTGAGACCCAAGGTGACAAGAAACTGGACTGAAGTCTGGGGGTCAGAAGCCTGTTGCTATTTGTTCTTTGTGCCTTGGTTTTGGAAAGTATAAGTGAGGGTCTAAGAGAGAACCCAGGAATGTCAAAGGAGCAAAACTGGGGTTTGGGATAAACTGTGGGGCCAGGGACATTGAGATTACCTTACCATTTAATCCAGAGCCTCAGGCAGGAGTTTTCAAAGGGCTTTAGACATCTTGTTAATTTTTTACCAAAGAGCTTTTTCAGAAATTGGTGAAACAGGACAAAGATCACCAAACAGGTGATGACAAACAAGGCCAGTGCCCTCTGGAAATCCAAGATGCAAGCTGCCAGGAAATAGGCAGCATAGGCTAAAAAGAGAAGGTGCAGAGTAAGAATCAGTAACACAGCACTTCCAAGGAGCAAGTGATACCCCAGTCATAAATTCCTGGGATTTTTCTTAAAGCAAGAAAAATCCTCCAGAGTCCCTGCCACTCTGCCCTACTGTCAGGCTGAGCTGCACTTCTCAAGGCTAGGAGAGATGTCTAACTGTTCTTTTCCTGAGGATTCCCAAGGAGAATCCAGCTTAGTTTGTGGACTGCATATTTTCACCTTTACCTAATGAAATCTCATTGTCTTCTATTTTATCTGACACCCATCTCTGTCCCTTGAAGGAGATTGATCAGCAACCACAATAGACTCTTCAAAAGTCAGTCATCTCTTTTTGAAACTTTATTACCCCAGTCATTTTAACCTTTCCTCTTGAACAAAACCACCAAAACAAAGCTACCACTAGGAGGTGCAGCCACGCGGCGTGGCCCTCATCCGTGCCTCCCTGACTCCTCCCAAATATATTTGTTTTCACCATGCCAGCTGCCTCTGATTTTGACATCAATGCCCCACATATCACTAACAATATGTTTCAAACAGAGGTTTTCTTTCTTTAAAAAAAAAAAAAAACTAAAAAAAACTTTAGTTCACTTTGTTGCCCAGGCAGAGTGGTATGGCCTCAGCTTAACTCACAACAACCTCAAACTCAAGCAATCCCCCTGCCTCAGCCTCCCAAGTAGCCGGGACTTAGAGGCATCTGCTGCAATGCCCAGCTAATTATTCTATTTTTTTAGTAAAGATGGGGTCTGTCTTACTCTTGCTCAGACTGGTCTCAAACTCTTTTTTTTTTTTGAGACAGAGCCTCAAGCTGTCACCCTGGGTAGAGTGCTTGTGGCATCACAGCTCACAGCAACCTCCCCACTCCTGGGCTCAAGCAAGTCTCCTGCCTCTGCCTCCCAAGTAGCTGGGACTACAGGTGCCCGCCACAACACCTGGCTATTTGGTTGCAGCCCTCATTGTTGTTTAGTGGGTCCAGGCTGCATTCGAACCTGCCAACTCAGGTGTATGTGACTGGTGCCTTAATTGCTTGAGCCACAGGCGCTGAGCCTGGTCTCAAACTCTTGAGCTCAACTGATCCTCCTGCCTTGGCCTCCTGGAGTACTAGGATTATAGACATGAACTATTGCTCCCAGCATTAAAAATATTTTCTATCATTGGTCTTACTAGTAAACCAGCAAATAAGTGATATATAATAGAGGACTCTCATAAAGACTATTGGAATCATGTCCTTTATCAAATCAAGATACTAAATAAGCCCATAGGCTCTGAAGTACTTTAAATCTATCAAATAGTACAATTTTGGAAATTAGGATTGGTCTTGTTTGTTTGTTTGTTTGTTTTGAGGCAGTGTCTTACTCGTCACCTTGGATAAAGTGCAGTGGCATCATCGTAGCTCACTGCAGCCTCGAACTCCTGGGCACAAGTGATCCTCTTGCCTCAACCTCCCAAATAGCTGGGACTATAGGTGTGGCTAATTTTTCTACTTTTGTAGAGACAGGTCTTGCTTTTGCTCAGGCTAGTCTCAAACTCCTGACTTCAAGCGATCCTCTTGCCTCATCCTTCCAGACTGCTAGGATTATAGACATGAGCCATCATGCCCAGCCTGAAAAATAGGTTATTATCAGATTTTACTTGTTGCTGTAAGTGCAACTGAATAAATTATGATTCATCCGCAAGCAGTTAAGATCTAGAAATCAAATAGCCCTTTAGATTTAAAGTGATTTCCATCTGTCTTGACACAGGTTAACATTCGTAAAATAATTGTGTTTTTCATTTCCGTGAATTATCAATATCTCACCCAAACACAACAGGCCCAAGAGGATCTTCTTAAACAAACTGGCATGTGTTTTGTAGAAACTTCTTGCCTTGATGAAAGGCTGTAGATTCCTCCTGATGAGAACCCAAAAGTTAAGATATAAGAATTACTCCAACCCATTTGTACTGATTCTCAGAACCCAGATTACCTCAAGATTCTCACTGCCTAAGAACAAACTCAAGGCAGAATTTTTTCTCAGGAACAAAGAAAATTATTCTGTGGCTCAAGCAGCTAAGGTGCCAGCCACATACACCTGAGCTGACAGGTTCAAATCCAACCCGGGCCTGCCAAACAACAATGACGACTACAACTACAACCAAAACATAGCTGGGCATTGTGGTGGGCACCTGTAGTCCCAGCTACTGGGAGGGCTTAGGCAAGAGAATCACCTAAGCCCAAGAGTTGGAGGTTGCTGTGAGCTATGATGCCATAGCACTCTACTGAGGGCAACAGAGTGAGACTCTATTTCTTAAAAAAAAACAAAACAACACACCCAAACCCAATCCTTGAACAGTCATTTGTGCATTGACTGACAGGAATGAAAACACCATCAACCTCAAGAATCCTTGAATGGGCAGGCCTGAGAGAAGATGCCCAGCAAGTAGGGCTTATCAAGTTAGATTTACCAAAAACATTTATAGTGCTTTCTATATGCTGGGCTCTTTTTAAGAACTTGGCAAATACTAACTCATTGATTCTGCCTAAGAATGCTAGAGGTGGTTTCTATTATCATTTCCATTTTATAGATGTGGAAACTAAAAAAACAGAGAAGTTATATAACTGTCCCAAGGTCACAGAGGCTGAGCAGAGAATATAAACTCCAGCATTCTGGCTTCAGAATCTGTGTCTCAACTGTTATCCTCTACTGCATCTTACATGGACCTCAGACTTACCTGTCTTTGCCACTCCTAATTATCCTTAGCACACTGCAGCTATATTCCAAAAGCTCTAATTTCCAAACTCTTGGAAGTTCCAGATAAGCCCAGCAAGAAGGGCCCAGTGTAGCCACCATGCTGAGGCAGGACAGAGGGTGGGACCAGCCACTAATTCCAAATGCCCTGGGGCGTGGGCCACAGAGTTAATGGCTCTTTGTCTAGTTCCCCATCTAACAGGATCCCTGCTCCTAGGCTTTCTTTTCATTCCTGCCTCCACCCTCTCCTCTTGCCTCCCCTTTCTGCAGGGAGCCCCCCACCGCTGTGTTAGCAGAGCAAAGCATGTATTATCAGGAACAGATAAGCTGGGAAAGGAGAAAACAATCTTTATCACTATCTGACTGAATGATTCAGGAGCTAAAGAACTAAAGAACTGACTGATTTAGGAGCTAAAGAACTCACACATTTCCATCTTTAAATAGAGAAAGTAGACTGTGAAAGGATTTGCTTAGTGGTATCAGCACGAGGGGACATCATTATCTTTGGAACATCATTCACACGTATATCAAGGAATGGATTTAGTTTCAATCCTAGACTTGCCATGAGTGGCAGATATCTTTGGCACGCCCCTCCAGAGCCTGTCTGCCCCCAACTCTGGGCTCTGGGCATCTAACCCATGTTGACTGCATCGATGGGCTCCCATGCCCTCTGCCTTATCAAGTTGGATCCTCCCTCTGGAACAGCATGGGAGATCAGAGTGTGTGAAAAGACTGAGGTCAGCATATCAAGGTCTTCTATCTGATATTCCTGCTAGGGTCTCTTCCATCTTGTCCCTTCAGGCCTAGGAATAGTAACTGTTCATTGCTTCAAGCTTTAGGTTCTTGCACTATCCTTTCTTGTGGTTCTGCTACACCTTACCCATATCTTTGTAATGGTCTCTTCATAAATAAATTATCCTTATTTAAGTATGCCATCTGTTTCCGGTGGCCACACTGATATATTAGGTGAAGGTGATTTAAAATTACATGCAAATGTCAGCTGAGCAACCCCTGCAAAATAAGGGGGGGCATGGACAGGTGTCCAAGAGTGGACATAATCACATGCCTAGAACAGACTTTCACTGTCATCTCCTGACCACAACCCACAAGTTAGGAACTAAAGTTTACTGGGAACAATAGGAAATCAATTAAGAACACTCATTTCTGCAGGATTCATGAACAACCTGATCCTAAATATTGATTTGGAACTGGCCTCTGGTTTCAAAAATAAAAAGGAAATGCCATGAGAAGCCTTCCGAAGGAAAAAGAGAAAACAAGATTTCTCACTTTTTAAAACCCATTGAGAATCAGTGCATAGGGTCACCTAAGTCCTGGTATCCTCGTTGGCCCAGGGTCTTCCCAATCTCACCAAACTCTTTACATAATGGTACAACTGGAGCATTGGTAACTAACTATGTTATATCAAGAAGCTAAATTGAGAAGAAATCTGATCGGTGATGCAACTTGATACCTTGCCCCTAACTTGCTGTGAAATACCCACTGATAACTTCTTTAGAAGTGTATATGATGGGGGGGGGGAATGGGTGGAGGGAGGGAGTTTGGAGGGATTACTTCTGAGGTTTACCTTATAGGGGTACAGGTGAATCTTTCTAAGAGTAGAATGTGAATGTTTTAAAGCAATAACTGAGAAAATGACATGAAGGCTGTGTTGACCAGTTGATGGAAGTATTTCAGATTGCATGTGAAAACCCCACACTGTACCCCAGAAGTGCATTAATGTACATAGTTACCATTCAATAAAAAAAAAAAAAATGCAATCAAGAATTCAAAAAAAAAAAAAAAAAAAAGAAGAAGTGTTTATGAATGACTTTCCAGGTACTGACTAATGGTGACCTTCTCACTAGCCTGCTTACTGACTGCAGCCCCAAGTGGCTAGGTGAGAAAATGGCAAGGGTGCTGGATAGTGCTAGCTGAATATAACCATAGCAGGCACAACAGGTCAGGCCTAACGGTAGGAGTATTCATGCACTTTCTCAGTGACCTTATCCACAAGATGTGGAAACTCTCCCAACCAAGGGAGACAGAGTTATGGGAAATCCCAGGGTCTGGGGTACTATCAGTTAGCAGGTGGAGTGAAAGGCTTGGGACAGCTTTCAGAGAATTGAGCTCCAGTGACTGTTGACAGTGTGGCCCTGAATGAATCTCTGCTGCCCTAATTTGAAGTGAGGACTAGAGAAAAGAAGTGAGCTCCAAACTAAATGGTGGCATGAATAAAGAGTGAGGACAAGGACCTCCAGGCAGAAGTGACCAGAATCTTTTCAAGGAGTCAAAGATTTTATTTTATTTTATTTTATTTATTTTGAGACAGAGTCTTACTTTATCACCCTCGGTAGAGAGCTGTGGCGTTGTAGCTCACAGCAACCTCCAGCTCTTGGGTTTAAGTGATTCTCTTGCCTCAGCCTCCCGAGTAGCTGGGACCACAGGTGCCCACCACAATACCCGTCTGTTTTTTGTTTGTTTGTTTGTTGTGTTGAGTTTGGCCAGGGCTGGATTGGAACCCATCACCCTTGGTATATGGGGCTGGCACCCCACCCACTGACCCACAGGCGCCGCCCCAAAGATTTTATTTTGATGATGGCATAAAAAGAATTGGTCAGTGGGTACTTTGGTATACAGCTGGTTTTAGTTGGACAAGAGCTGGGTGTTGGTATAAAGGGACCAGGGAACAATTACCAAAAGTGTCCAAGAGAGCATGGCAACTGAGTCTGAGAAGCAAAATGTCATCAACAGCCACGGTGGAAAGCCATATAGGGATTAGAAAGCCAGAGAAGGCAAGAGAAAGGCATATCAGGGTGGCACCTGTGGCTCAAAAGAGTAGGGCACCAGCCCCATATGCTAGAGGTGGTGGGTTCAAACCCAGCCCCGGCCAAAAACTGCAAAAAAAATAAAAGAAAAAGAAAGGCATATCAGATGGAAGTCAGCAAACTTACATTGGAGGCAGAGGCTCTGCACAGCTGGGAACCAGCAGTTCTGAGAGCCTCCAGCCCAGGTACAGTGCGAAGGGAGCCTAACCCAGAACACAGCCAGATGCTTAATTGCTGAGTTGTGGCGCATCTGTTGGCTTGGAAAAGAACTCTTCTTCCACACAGCACCCATATCTCTGCCTGATGAGTGCATTTACACTAACAGTGGAGACACAATGCCAAAGGCCCACACAGACAAGAAGGGCTGGTATGTGGGATTTCCAAATAGTTTTTCAACCCACCCTCAACTTCTTCCATTCAGAACTCTTCTCTCTTCAAGGTAGGGGTAGCCATGATTCTTATAGGCAGTGGCATCTTCTGAGAGAGGAGCTCTCTCTCATGATGGGTCATGACTCTACCTCCAGTGACCCTTCCAAGTCAGACTTTTCCGTTCTGTTGCAAGCAAAAGTTTCTCCAGGTTTCTAGCATATGGTTAATGCCCATCATATACTTCTTGTGATGAGACTATTTGCTCCTATTCACACATTCTATTTTTTTTTTTAATTTATTTTTTTGAGACAGAGTCTTACTCTATCATCTGGGGAGAGTGCCATGGTGTCATAGTTCACAGAAACCTCAAACTCTTGGGCACAAGCAATCCTCTTGCTTCAGCCTCCTGGGTAGCCAGGACTACAGGCACTCACCACAATGTCCGACTATTTTTTCTATTTTTGGTAGAGACAGGGTCTCAATCTTGCTCAGGCTGGTCTTGAACTCCTGACCTCAGGTGATACAGCTGCCTTGGCCTCCCAGAGTGCTAGGATTACAGGTGGGAGCCACAGCGCCTGGCTTCACACTTTTTTAAAAATGGTTTCACTAGGAATTTCAGGACTAAGGAGCTCTAGTGTGCATCTATAGGTGCTGATAGCAGACTCAGGCCTAATTGTAAAAAATATGGAAGGAAGGGAGTTCTCTCAACAAGGATGGACTGCCTAAAATTTTTATCTTGGGACTTGCATTAATATTCAACATAGACCCTAGAGAGCTTTTCACACCCCAAACCCAGGATTTTGTACAATTTATGCCACCAGCTTATCTTGCCATCCCCATTTCCCCCTTATTAAAAACTTTAGATGAGGTCGAATTTTTTGTTTTCTGTAAAAGAAAGAAACTTGAGTACACGTTATGCTGGGGAAGGCGCTAAGACAGAAGGAATGATTGAAGATGTAGAGGAGAAAGG